TGCTGGATCTGCTGCTGCTGCTGGATCTGCTGCTGCTGCTGCTGGATCTGCTGCTGCTGTGTCTGCTGTTGCTGCTGATGATGATTCATGGGACTCGGATGATGATGATTCTGCTGCTGCTGCTGTTGCTGTTGTTGCTGTTGCTGCTGCTGCTGGTGCTGCTGAACGACGAGACTTCCTTGAGTGAGGACTGCCGTGTGCCTCATGGTGCTGCTGCTGCTGCTGCTGCTGCAGTTGGTCCTCAATAGATTGAACATGATGCTGCTGCAACTCGTGTAGAGGTTTAGGTATAACAAGGAGCTTGAATTGCGGCTGCTGCTGCTGCTGCTGGTCTTGCTGCTGCTGCTGGCCTTGCTGCTGCTGCTGGTCTTGCTGCTGCTGCTGCTGCTGCATCTCACCAAATGCAGTAAGAAGAGCAGGCTCCTGCAGCAGCTGCTGCTTCTTAGCAATTGCTGCTCTTAGTGTCTCTAAATTAGCAGCAACAGCAGCAGCACTGTCTCTTTCTTTTTTTATTTTTTCTTTTGCTGCTTCTGCTGCTGCTAGGCTCCGCAGCAGCAGCAGCTTGTGTCTCCCTGTCTCCTCTCCTTCCTTCTGTAAGAAACCACGAGCTTTTATTATATCTGTCCCTTTTGTTGCTACTACCCCTCCTGCTGCTCCTGCTGCTGCTGCTGCTGCTGCTCGTTTTCTTGCTGTTGGGGAACCTGCTTTTGGCGTTGTTGCTGCTGGCGATGCTGCTGCTGGTGATGCTGCTGGTGTTGCTGCTGCTGCTGGTGCTGCTGCTGCTGCTGCTGCTGCTCTTTTTGGTGTCTGTGGAGATGCCGGCGAAGATTTGCTGTCTTTTGTCTTTGCAGCAGCAGCAGCAGCAGCATCACCAGCATCTCCAGTAGCAGCAGGAGCAGCAGGAGCAGCAGGAGCAGCAGGAGGAGCAGCGGGAGCAGCAGGAGGAGCAGCAGGAGCAGCAGGAGGAGGAGGAGGCAGCAGCAAGGGAGACAGTTGATTAAAGGATGAATCCTTGGATAGTCTCCATGGTAGTCCCCTTAAGGAGGGACAAACAGCAGCAGCAGCAGCAGCAGCAGCAGCAGCAGATCTACTAGTTTGCTGCTCCCAAGGACTACCCCATTCAGATCGACAAGGAGGCAGCGCTAATGCAGGTACTGCAGCAGCAGCAGCAGCAGCAGCAGCAGCAGCAGCAGCGCCAGGACCACCACTTGTTGCTGCTGCTGGTGTGGTTGCTGCTGCTGCTGCTGATCTAGATAAGGAGGTACGCGGTGCAGTTGCTGCTGCTGCTGCTGCTGCTGTTGTTATCGTTGCTGTAGCATACAGAGGCCCGAATGCTGCTGCTTCTGCAGCAGCAGCAGCAGCATCAGCAGCAGCGTAGGAAGCAGCAGTAGCTGCTGATCTTCCTGCAGCAAGACTATGTATATCCTTGCTGCTGCTGCTGCTGCTGCTGTTGCTGCGGGATAGTCTCCTTATAGGGAGTTTGTCTCTAGGCAGCAGCACAGCAGCAACACCAGATACATTTAGATCTTCTATAGAGGATTTATCTTTTGCTGCTGCTGCTGCTGCTGCTGTTGCTGCTTCTTCTGTTGTTGCTGCAAACAAACCATGAAAACGTCTGCTGCTGCTGCTGCTGCTGCTCGGGTACGTGCTGCTGCTGATGTTGCTGCTGCTGTGGCGAAATCGTGAAGAAGCAGAGAGTCTTGGTCCCCCTTGTTGCTGCTGCTGTTGCTGCTGCTGTTGCTGCTCTTGTTGCTCTTGTTGCTGTTCTTGTTCTTGATGCCCTTGCTGCCCTTGTTGCTGTTGCTGCTGCTGTTGTTTTTGCTTCAGCAGTTGTTGCTGTTGCTGTAGATGTCTTAGCTCCTCTTCTTGCTGCTGCTGCTGCTGCTGCAACCTTTCAGCTGCTGCTGCTGCTGCTGCTGCTGCTGTATTATGCTTACTGTGTATACGTGGCACCTTATATGTAGTATATAGAGACAACATATGCTGCAGAGGAGACCCTTGCTGTGCAGCAACAGGAGACAGAGAAGGAGACACATCAGGAGATAAAAAAGGAGACACTTTAGGGGATAAAAAAGGAGACACCTTAGGAGACAAAAAAGGAGACACCTTAGGAGACAATTTCTTGTTATTTGCTGCTGCTCCTGCTGCTGCTGTTGATGATGATGATTTCTTGCTTGTCTCCCTTTTTGATGCCTCCATCAAATACCAGACACGATCTACAAAAAAAAAAAAAAAAAAAAAAAAAAACCC